ATTGCTCCAGCAAAATGCAATGGACAATCTTTGCTTTATCGATTCCCCTTTTCTCTCTCTCATTCAGTTACTTCCTTTTTTTTCTCTTTCTCTCTTCCTTTTTCTCTCATTTTTTCAGTGCCGTTCTTTCAATTTTCGTAACAATAACACGCATTCAGCGGAAGAATGAAGTAGCTAGAGCTTTTATGCGATACGCGCTCAAAAACCTTCAAACGTAATTTACTTGATAATAAAACGGAGAATCGATGTGCATGCGCCCGTTCTCGTCATTCGAAGCGAAACTCGTACAAAGTCAAAGCCGCTCCAAATTTGATTCGTTCAGTTAAGTTTTTAATCAAATAACAATTAAAATGTAGAACGATCGTAATGGCTATTGCATGCCGTACATTTATGTTCACTTTGTTTCGAACGAAAGATTCTAGATCTCTGTGACACAGAGAGAATTCACTTAATTAGAAAACACTTTGCTTTTCCATTTGATGTGGAATGATATGGTTTTATTTTTTGCTTAACGTTGAGCGATAAGAAGAAATGTCAACAACAAGACTGAATTCAGACGTGAATGAAAAGAACAAGAGCGAAAGAGAGAGAGAGAGAAATTAGATGGTATCAAGTAAGAGCATGTCAATGGACACAATGAAAAGACAAAACTTTTCAAAATTGCAGCGCATTTGTTGGCGTTCAAATCTCGAATCTTATACCAAAATCCCAACAAAGTTGACTGTAATACGTTTCACAATTTCAAGTGAAATCACTGCTCCACTTTTGAATTCCACGGATTTAATTAGTTCAAATGGCGACCGACATACGCTTTCTTTGAAGATTTAGCGAGGTTGAGTGATAAAGAAAACAATTAAGATACTTATCCGATAAACAATTTGAACCAAAGCCGGAGGACACAGACACTTGCAAGAACACACACACACAATCACGAATTTATACGATCACTTCTTTCCTTCTTCTTTTTATCCAATTAAATAATTCAATGTGTCTGTTTTACAGCGTAAATGTGTACAATATGTTGTACTGAAATGAGAAAATTGAAATGAAAATGCTTTCTTCCGGAAAATCGATGCGTTTTCGTGGATAATGACACATCCGTGGCATTTGTCATTTACTTTCATATTCAACACGGAATGCGATATGGAGACAATGCGCAATTTACATAAATCGTGTGAAAAACTCAATTCCGACCCCCCTAGAAGCCTGAGAGTATGACATGAGATTTAATGTGCAACGGATGCTAAAAATTGAGTTTGTAACTTTTGTTTTCTTCAAATAGAAGTATATTTCCATTCACCAATCACCTTGTGCTTAGTACAACAACAACGAAAAAAAAAATCCTGACAGTATTCCAATTTCCAAGTTAATAATTTTTTTCTTCTCGTTCACCGCCCCATTTTATTATTGCTTCGGTAAAATGGTGTAATGCTCGCGTAAAATGTATGTGAAAAGTAATCTTAAGCATTACGTCTCCAAGCAAATAAAATATTATTATGTAATTCCGTTTTGCTTTCATTTCATTCTGTCCCTCTCTCGATTTCTCGGGCGCTCGCGTCTTTGAACCTGTTCGAATGAACCATTGCCATTAAAGGGAATTTATCACCCAAAAGCGAATTTATTATGTCTGCAATGAAAAATGTTACACCATCGCTTGCCATTTTCCAATTTTCCAACTTATAAGTGTATGCATTATACGAAGAAAAATAAAAAAAAAACCGTTTGTGCCAACCTCGTGCAAATGTTGCAAAGATCATAAAAATTCAGTGTCTTCAAAAATCATGACAGACATTTTGTTGATATTATTGTCTTTGGCCGTAGTTACTTTGAATGTTGCACCAAATGTCCAGCAAAAATGTAAAGACGTCTTTTCTTAACTAACTCGCCAAACACACTTATTTTTCTCTTTTGCCATCAATAGCTGGTACGATTGTCTAGCACTAAATGGCCATACGCTTTTATTTTTCGATAAAATTCAATGTGAAAACAAACTAAAAAGTATTACAATAAAATTTTATGCATTTATCGATTTCAATAACTATTTTAATCTTATGCTGTCTCATAATACATCGTTTTTCAAAGTTCTCATTTTTGTCCGAGTTTCTGCGAATCGATTTAATGTTGGCCGATGCAAAAAAAAAATGAATAAAAGACAAGTAAAAAGTGTGTCTTAACAACAGAAGCATCCAATTCAATGCCATTCAAGCGATTTTTAATACGCGTATTAATGTTGAAATATAGATCCTGTGTGTTATTTTATGTCGATCATGTGCACAACCACCGTTGTAAAAAAAAACCCATTTTATACCGGTTGTAATAAACAGCACAAAAAAACATTTGTGCACACATAATAAAAATATCGTACGTGATTTTTGGATGTGTAATAATATTCCTCGAGTGAATTTACCGCACTTTATTTACATTGTCGGCCATAAAATGACCACCTTTTACGTAGGTGCTTAATTGGAGGGAGCGAATTTTTTTCGTGGTGAAAACCATCAATTTTGAGCTCAAACTCTCAAGATCGTCAGTACGTGAACACAATGACATCCATCATTGAGCTTACAATTTTGTAAAGGCTATATACATTGTTCATACTCACTCCCCAAATTTAATGGCAAACACAAAATAACGTTTTCTATCTATAAATCAATGACGAGAATTTTATTTAAAATGCAAACTATTTGCGAATGCATTCAAGTTATTTATTCAATAAACCATTTGCTATCGTATCTCAGAGCATAAATGTCGCGAATAAAAATGCGAACAATATTTCCACGTTCACAATGACTTACGAACTGCACAATCGCATAAATCATGCAATCAATGCGATGGTGAAAACAAAAAAAGCTGAACTGGTGTCAAATAAATTCGAATATTGCATTCCATTTTGAAATCGCATAAAGCTAAACATTTATATTATTTCTCTTTTTGTTGTGCTTGGGTGTGAATGAAAGCCGATTAAAACAAAACAGAAAAAAATGCTCACCACTCTGCAACTAAATAGCAGCACCGATGTGTGGTTATGTATTATTCATAGCACAAAAACAAACAAAACACATGAGAGCTGAAAATGCTTTTTCTTTTCGATGAATGGAGTGACAAAAGCAATATATATTCGCATTTGCTTATATATTATGTATTGTGGTTGGGTCATTATTTCCATGTCACATTAAATTATTGACATTTTTCAAAACTGAAATGGAATGAAGATTCATCGATTCAAAGCATTTTATAAAAATAACACATAAATCTAAGCGCCCGAGTACATCAGTTTGAATAAAATATGCGGGTGCAAATCAGCACTATGCAATCATTTATAGGAAATTATTTACCGTTCACACGGTCATGGTATGCACTCAATTGTCATGAAAAATTCAAAATCATCAAAATGAGATTGCAATTTTCACCAAGCAAACAATGTGCACTTGCATATTGTTGAACCGAACCGAAGCGCGCATCTACGAACAAATGGGAATTTCGGTATTATTTTCGCTATGCAAACAATATACCATTAAATGATATTGCAGTTGTCTGTTTATTCAGATTTAAATTGCTTTCGCATGGAACATTTTATTGAAAAATCCATTTATACCGCAATGATGTCTTTAAATATGATATCCCTTTTAGCGAAATGTCTCTTCAATTATTTTCCAATGAGATCAAATGTTTTTTAGAATAAAAGTTCAGATTTTGTTGCACCCCAAAACAAAACGGCAGAGAAAATTTCAACAGATTTTCCCCGTTGGAACCGATGCTGCAACATTTAAAGGTTCTGATTTAAATCGTCGATCCACCGAAAATAATTTTCATATTTGAGAACATTTTTTAGACGTTTCATTGATAGAAAATACATGAAAATATTTGGAAAATTTCTACGTTTTCGCTCTACTCATTTTCATAACAAATTCAATTTGTTTGTGGTTGCTTCAACAGTTCGTTGAGATTAAAAATGATCCACACCCGACCGATGCGTATACTAATTAACGGATTCGTTGAGCATTCATTTAATTAATGTGCATTTCATTTGCAAACGTTAAAGCCAATGAATATAGTAGTGTATGCATTTTTGTAGTGTGATCAAAATCAGAGTCAGCATATGTATGTAGATTATTAGCATATGTAAGCAGAATTAAATTGACGTGAGAATGGTGAAATTTGTGCGTTTTGAGCTTTTTCGCTCGGTTTGATTTGGCTTGTAGAGGAAAATAAATTGATATGAGAGAAAAAATATACGGATTTTTTTTTTAAATCTACTCGATGCTCATGACCTATGTGATGCGATTAACTTACTCAATTATAAGATTTGATACACATATTAATGTCATGGTGTCACTATGTGTGTAGGTAGAACGTATGCATTTTTGCGCTCATTTTATTCGTCCATAAATTAATAAATCGCTTCCGGATTTGTCATTAATAAATGAACATTGAATAACGAACCATTAAGCTATGCGGTGAACGAAAAATTGTGTTGGGGGTGTGAAAGCGACCAAAAAAAAGCGACACCTGTAAAATGCAAATTAATAACTGTGTATGTGTGTGATTGAGATGTGGATTTTTACATTTGTGTAAAATGTAATTTACCAACTCGGCATTATGTGGGTGAACCAGCGCCAAAATTACCGTCATCTATTAAATTGCTGCATAATCAATAATGTGCTGCTTAAACTCAATAATGAAAATGCATTAATCGTAAGCCGGTTTTTGTTTGGCCAGTGTCCAGAGAGAAAAAGGTGCACATTTGCCACAATAACCAAATTGATAGAGTCATTTGGAGCGTTGTGCCCTCATTTGTGACGGTGCCAAACTGATATTTGGGGCGCGCATAATGCAATTGCAAAAAGTGCAATCGTTTGCATTAGGCGCGATATATTGGAATCTGTTCTTCTTTCATGTTTAAATTTCCACCAAATTTCAATTTAAATGAACATGCGTGTCATTTTAGAATGCCAACGTATCAATGTACAGAGTAAAAATGCATAAAAGAATTGACTTACCGTTGTGGGCAAGTTGAGTTCATGTGTTTCGTTGCCACGCCAAATATTTGAATCAGTTGGTAAAGGTGTTTGCATGTCACATTCGGTTTCAAAGTAGAAGCTATCAAAGCCACGTCGACTGTATGGTTTCTGTTTTGCCAAATGGTTGATCGAATGCGATTGCGTTTGAACAGTTGTAGTTGGTGTAGTCGTAGTCGTAGTTGTAGTAGTTGTTGTTGAGCTACGGCTTTGTGTAATAGACTTTATCGTATTCAGTGATGACGAATGTTTATCGCTTTCAGTTGAACTAATTGCATCAATCAAAGCCGGAGCAGCAGATGGTTCTTTTGATGTGGGCTGATTTAGTTTGACCACAGATTCTGATGGATGTGCTTCTAGCAAACTATTCGGTGGTGCGACTGATGCTGATGCCGTCGCTTCTGCTGCAGTGGTTAATGATGCAGTTTGGCTTAATGTTGATGATATCGTCGGTGACTCTTTGTTGGCATTACTGTAATTAGTTTTAATGGATTCGAATGGTTTTTGACCGATAGCATCATTGTGAATTATGTACAAGTGCATGTTTGTTGTCGACATTGTGGCATTACTGCCATTCATTTTATTCGTTGCGTTTGCATTTAGTTGACTCTCTTTGATAATTTGCTGTCGGTCTTTTTGTAAGCGCTCCAATTCATTTTTATCGATCGTATTATTGCTGCCACTGTTTACATTAATGAAAAGTATTTTCCGTTCGGTTGAATTGATTGGCTTTAGCGTTGATAAAACTACCTCTTTTTGCGCCGTGTGAATCGAAGAAGCGGTATCCGCACCAATGCCATTCGTATTCAAACTGACATGGCTTGACTCAATGAGGTCGTCAACTTTATTATTTTTATCATCCATTTGACTTTTAGATGAGTTTGATTTGGTGTTGTTGTTCGTTTGCTTGTTTGCAACTGTTTTATTTTGTTTTACCGTTGTTTCGTTCCGTTGAATTCCATCATTGGCATAGTGTGAGTTAAACTTGGCATTTGAAATGTTCGCATCCAATTTCCGTTCTTCATCCGATTGCGAAATGATGTTTTCATCAATGGATTTTATGTTAGCCGATGATGGTAAACTTTCTCGATTCGTATCCGTAAAACGCTTTCGGAATGTTGGATCGAATTTTTTCACTCGTCGCTCAATGAATCCCATGCCACCTAAAATCGTCAATTGGTTAACTCTATTCATTTGTTCCTGTAAATTTTGTTCTTGCTGTTGTCGAAATTGCTGCAATTGTATCTGCTGCTGTTGATTTTGTTGCTCTTCCATGTTTGTCATACTTATATCGCGAAAGCTTCGTTCAATTTTACTGACCATATCGTCTTTCAATTGTAATTCGGATGTAAAATCGGTGACACGATCACCATTATTTGGTCCGTTATTTGTACGCTTAACTGGGCTCACGTAATCGTCATCGTCAACGATGGATGTAACATCGCCATCTTTTGATGCTCCACCGTTTGGCTCATCAATTAGTTCAATTTCGATTTTTGTTGTTGGAATGTTATTTTCAATTGAATTAAATGCTCCATTGATTTTGGCATGTTGTATTTGATTGTCACCGCCGACCATTGCTGTTGCATCACCTTCATTTCCGAACAGAATTGAATTTTTCCGTTCGTTTGCATCGTCGATTATGTTGAATCGAGCGTCTGAAATGATTGGCCGATTATTATAGTCGCTGTTACTTTTTTCCAAACCAACATATCGATTTTTTTCTTCAATCATTTTCTCATTTGATTCACGTATAATTGAGCTAAAATCTTCCAATTTTGATGGATACAAATCGGCTATATTGACTTGCCCACTTGCACGTTGTGATGCTGGTCGATGCATGTCATTGTCATGCTTATTATTGTTTTGCTTTGCATTCGAAACGGTTTCATCTTCAAGGTTTTGTTTTGCATCGTTGCCGTCATGTGTGTGACCATTGCTGAATTCATCAGTGATGATTTCAGCAATTTTAATCCGATATAGACCGTTCTCCAATTTTTGTTCGACATGCATGCCATTCGAGCTAATTGACAATTGCTCGTGTTCATTTTGATTATCTATGGATGATTGCTCACCGTTCTTTGTTGCCAATTGAAGCGGTGCCATTGTGCTTGCCGGTTTAAAATCGCTGGTATCGACACTTTTACGAATGTTTGTTGGTTTTTTTACCGTTTTCGCATCGTTTGGCGTTGCAATTGTTGACGCAACATTTTCGTGTTTGTTTTTTGTCGTTGATGTTGGCGCCAATGCGTCTATTGCTGGTGGCAAAGCCTCAAAAACTTTTACCCGTTCATTTGAAACTTTATCGTTTCGATCCTGATCACTTTCCAATGTTAAAATTGGTAACGACGATGCTGCCGCTTGTTGAACATTCATTTTACTCGCAGCACTGACTTTTTCATTCAACGGTATGGGTTTTTCCGTGGCTGGTGTTGCTATTTCAACAGTAAATGAACGAATGCCAAAACTTATAGTTTCATCGTTTTCTTTATTATTATCAACATCAGCTTCTTCACTGCGAAATGTGATGCTTGTGATTCTTGCCTCGGTTAGATTACCCTTCGTTTCAGTTGTTTCGCTTAACGAAAGTTTTGGCGCTAACGATGCCTCCTCTTCTGTGGCCAATGCTACTGGTACTGAACCCCTTGTATCCATTTGCGCGGATCGATCCTTTGTTGTTGGAATTTTTGTGGTGGTCGATGATGCAAAATTAGTTGAATTTAATTCGGCGCCATTAACACCTGCAATGTTTATACAACCCACTATCAATGCAATTAAAAATACTTCTTTAAATCGTTGCAACGCCATTTTTTGTCTTTTTTTTTTGTTACTGTCACTCTTGTGTTTCTTCTTGTTTCGTTCGAGAGATTCGACCTTTTTGTTTTTGTTAGACTGTAATAGCCCGGTCACCGAATCACTCTCTTTCACTGTCTTTCCCACTTGCTTGCTGCGTTTGTTTGACACTAAAGCTTTAGCAATTTTCCGCGTTTGAGAATTGTTTATTTATCTTTATGTGTGTGGTTGGGTTGAAAAAGGTTTTTGCTTTTACTATATTTCTCTATCTCAATTTTCAAGTGTTTTGTTTACGGGCTTGATTTTGAATTGCGTTTGTTTGATTTTGCTTTTGTCTTTTACTCACTTTGTCTCATTTGCTGTTCTCTTTTCTTCAATTAAAAACAATGATGTGTTTTTTTTCTCGCTTTCAGTTTTCACAAGAGAGTATGGTGTGCATTAAAAAACATTTTCTTTGCCACTAATGCTGTCGGGCTGGTTGGAGCAGCAAAAAAACCGTTCGAAGACACAATAAGTAGGAGCGCACGACAAAGACGACAGATGAAAATGCATTTATTTCCAAACAAAATAGATTTTGCAAAATGAAACGAAAAAAAGAAGCATATACACACACACTTTTGCACACTCACAAATCGACACAAGAAGAACAAAATGATGTAAGGTCGACTTCACTAATCACGACCGGATTTCTTTGTCTTTTGTCGTTTCTGTATTTTTGTTTTTTTTTTTCCTTCTTTTGCGTTTCCTTTGAGTCTATTTGATTCATTCATCCGTTTATCATTTTCCGTGCGGCTGCCTGAACATTCGCCGTATTGTTGCTGTTGTTGTTTGCTGCACTCAGTTTGTGTTGTTAGCGTACGATAGCAAGTGGTTATAAGTGTTATTGTCTCAAAGTTTTTACATGCAAAGAAACCTGATGGATAACGAATGGTGTTTACGGTATTTTTTTTTACTCTATGTCTCTCCTTCTGCAGAACTCCCAAAGTAAAATTGAGCGACGACGGTGGTGGTTGACGTTGTTATTGTTATTATGATTCTGTGCACCGTTGTTGTGTATGGTAAAACAGATGTCGGCTACTTTCAAGACAATGCGTTCTGTTGAGCTTGTAATCCAAATGGACGACAATGGATGAAATTGTCTGCAAAGAGATGAGAGAGAGAAAAAAGAACATGAACAAATAATAAAGAGATAAAAACAAACATACAAAATGGATGATGCAACATCGTCTTTGAATAAGAAAAACAACAACAAAACACTCGTTTGTACTCTATTTTGTTAATTCATTAGACATGGGATGGGGACGACGGTGGGAACGAGTGCGTGTATATATGTGTACGTGGTTGAACAAAAACTAAGTAATAAATGCTCATTTTTCGTTTGCAATATATTTGCTCAATTTACTGCACTCAAGCAATCTCATAAATGATACATTTGTAGTGCATTGCGCTCGAATGAAGCTTACGTGGTCGGTTATTTGACATATTTACAGCGCGTGCACTAACAAATATAACACAAGCATATTTTTCGGTTGATATTGACCAAATATTTCATATTCAACACATTACAAATGGTCGAAATTCGTCGTGTGACGCAAAGCACATACGTCATAATGAGAGTACTAATGTATCATTCGAAATGGATATTCGAATGCCATTCGAATTATTATCATATTTAAATCATTCATAACATTTAAAATGTATTATAATTTACCAAAGCTAATGTTTCAAGTTACATCAAGTTCATGTTAATGTTTCTTATTTTATGCATGAACAATCATTTTAATTCAATTCCATTCGTATTATTTTGTCAGCACCATTTCCAATTGTGGTAGAATTTTCAAATTTTCTTCATATCATAATAATTGGTCGATTTAATGAATTTTTCTTCCGTTTACTTAACACAACAGTCAACGTGTCAGAGACATTTTCAAAACAAACTTTTACGTACATATACCTGGTGTGCCGTTTGCCCCAAGGATTTACGTTTATAGCAGCAAATCGTGGTTGAATGAAGAAAATGCGGAATGAAACGACAATCCTCACGCGGTAAAAATATCCGAAGCAGAAGAATGAAAAATGACGAAAACAGTTGAGTATTAATACGATCATGAGAGCGTTCACTCCAACGAGGGATTTTCGTTTGAAGTTCATCAACTTTTGGTGAAATATTCTTAACTTTTAATAATTTTCACATTTTATTTCGAAGATATGCAAAAATTATTTACTTTGAATTAAATGAATGGTGGCCAGATATCAAGAAATGGGAGAAATGCAGGCAGCAAGAGAAATGAAGGAGCAAAGATGATGAGAGAGAGTTCATCAAAACTGGTGGTATTTCATTTGCCGTTTCTTTTACTCTGTCAGTGTTGAAATATGCAGAGAGCGATAAACTTTTTTATTCGGTTGCTCGTTGCTTTTTGCAAATTTATCTATTTCGGTGCGCTCTAGATGAACTCATCAACGAAATGAAGACAAAGTCTTGTTAAAAATGTTGAATGCTGTTATATTTTCCACTTCTACGTCCCTTCATCACATCCACTATACTTTGCGAGAAAAAAAATAATAATTTTAAAGGGAAGTTGGCAAATTATTCGGAAGCCTAATAATATGCACACTGTGAATATTTACCGTGCTTATGTATCACCCGAATTTCAAAATTTCGTATGCGATAAACATTCTGAAATTATCCTAGCAAAAATTCCACTACCTATATCATATCTCCACTCGTTCGTAATGTGTGCGAAAACAAAGCACAACACATAAAATGTGGCAATAATAGCATAACGGCATATACGGTACACATACACACTTCCATATAAATTCACTCACTCGCATCGTACACACATAACCATATTAATTTGTTTTCGAGTCTCTTCAACGTAATCCCATCTACTTAATAATAATTAATTACTCGAAACTTTTCGCTGCTTCATCGTCGTTTGTCGTCCCTTTTTTCCCTATCCGCACCGACAAATGGTTGCATGAATTTTATGCCGTGATGAGAGAAAGATAAATCCTTTGCATCAGTTGGTAGACACACATCATATATATGAATTTTTCGGATATGGTACATTTATTAAAATCACGTGCCAGTCGAGCTGAAGAGAATGTATGTCAATAAGTTTATCGTTTTTTTTGTTGTTTCAAGAGAAGGTCTATGAGAAAGTGATTGACATACACAAGTGACAACACTCTGTGTTTTTGCTATGTACCATAATCAACTTTCGGTCGCAGCACAATTCGGTTGACGGTTTTGCAAACGGAATTTCTGTCGATGGTTTTTCTAAAATGCTAAACATCTTTCGTCAGTGGCCTTCTTGTGTGCCGTGTACCCTGAAGATCGACGAACGTCACTTTCCTAATAGTCGAAAACTAATGGAAATCAGTTTTAGATTAAAGATTTTTGCCAGTCGACCCATTTTACAATATACGTGCAGTGAAACAAAGTGCCTCGCATGAAAAAGGTATTTTCCATTGGTTGGTTTTCTGGGCCTTTTCGGTGTCACTGTGAAAATGTTTCGCCGACGCAGAAATGTCTGGCTGTTGTTGAGCGATGAGATTTATTTTTAATACAACAACATTTTAATTTGATGGCATTTGTCAATTTGCCAAATGCGAAAATCGTTATCGAAGACCATGAATATGTGTGTGGGAGCGTCGACCAACATGCACGGACAACATTCCAAAATAATCTGTCTGCAATTTGTGCTGAAATATATATGTATATTTTGCATAGAAATTAGCTTCTACACAAAGGAAGATTCCCGAGATGCTTAAACTCGTTTTATAAATTAAAATGATATTTTCGTCGTCTATCCATCTCGTTGAACAAATGGATAAACGTTGTTATGTGACTAGGTTTTTTGTCTTAAAGTTTCAAGAACAATGACTGTTGCAGCTTAATAAATATAATCTATCTTAACACAATTATTGTACAAGTACTGAATGAAGCTGAGCCCAGAATATTGTCGATTGAGCCGGAATCCAAAATTTAATGACAAGCATTTTCCATTTTCCCAAAGGTTTAACAAACACATAAGAACACATTTATTATTCCATCTCAAATCAGTTTCACACCACTTTTCCCTTGCCATTATAAGACTGAAGTAAGATTTTATTTTTAAAAAATATAATATGTTCAAACCGCTTGCCATCCTCAGGAGATATGACGTTGTCGATAATTTGTGAAAGAATGAAAATTGTCTCAATACCAATCATCAATATACCACGAATAAGTTTCAAATAAATGTTCATTGAAAATTATCATCTTAATTGGATTTCCTTTGGAAAATTTGTCAATTGCATGACCATTATGGACATTGGACAATTTAATTAATTACACACTTTTAGTTGCAATATGTTACGATTATTGAATTTAATATAAAATCAAAATGAGTGATTTTGAACTGTGGTTTCAAGAATTGTGCAATAACGATATGAAACAGAGAACATGTCGATTTTCATCAATATTGAACTTTCGGTTAGTATATGTGTTGGATGCATTTGGAATGTGATGCCATCATCATGTGACGATAGTTTGGAATTTCTGCTTTTTAACCCGACGGCGCTTGACGACGATTGTGAAGACAACAAACTTTTCACCAAACAGTGGTTTACAGAGGGGTTGGAAAGAGAACGACAGACAGCGGCACCAATATATGGGTGCAACTTGGTAAATGCACAATGTATATCATGGGATTTTTTTGTTTATTTTTCCAAAAGATTTTTCAACTCGAGATCTATATCAGCTACCGAGTACCCAGCTTTGGATTTTCTTCGACATAAGAATCCAGTTGAATGGTTTCGTGATAAAAGATAAAACCAGTATGTAATTTACACTTGGTTATATACTCAGACCGAAAGGAATATTGAGGGAGAGAGAGAGAGAGAGAGAGAGAGAGAAAATGAGAGCGATTGAACGAGCGAACCGGCTACAATCGTTTGTTGTCAACAATAAACCAATTCATACAACAATCCCAGTCGTTGGATTTTATGTGAATGTGTTGGTAGCGCCGATGAGCATGATGTTATAGAAGATCGAAATGCGAAAAGTGTGGAAAAAGCAACGAATATAACTTTATATTGCTGGCAATGAAGCGGGAACGGAATTCTGCGTAACATGTGAGTGTATTTCGTATTGTGTGATTGTGTACTGCACATAAATTTCAGGCACTTTAGCTGTTAGAACTGATAAAGCGCGTAACGGGAGTAAGCGTACACAAATCGCAAGTACATAAATTGGCAGCAATTCGTGCTCACACACACACATTTTAGTTTTACGACCGCATCTCTATACGTAGTATAAATCTCAGTATTTTGGTATGTATATCATTGGTGTTGTCTCATCAAGATAACAACGGGCGAAATGACGAAGATTTGTGTACGATTCACAAAACATTTCTATTGGTGGCAAAACTTTCATACGGAACACATTCTTCAACTACTTTAAAAACTTTTACGAATGAAAATTATGTTTTGTCGTTTAAGGTACAAAGAAGAAGAAGGAGAACGGAATTTAAAAATGAAGTTGTGAACAATCATTTGTCTAATGGTAGTAAATGCCATCAAGAATATAAGATGAACGAGAGCCACCTCAATGCATTGACTACCAAATTGATCGAAGTGTAATTCTATTAAAAGTGCAGCCTCGAAATGCATATTCAATGGTGTGTGCACACAGCATAGCGAGTGCGCACGCTCATCATCAAACTTATTGGTAAATCAATTTGGCCCATTCAATTTTATGTCATATTTGCCATCCAACTGAATTAACATAAAATGTGGATTGGCATGTCCCATTCGAGGAGATCATCGAAGAGAAGAAAAGCTGCTCGATTTAATGAAAACACTTGTTCTCTATCGTGTCATTGGCATTATCTCGATGTTGTCTCTCACATTAAATTCCGATCGAATTCATGTAGCATTTCAGTTTCAATCGAAGTTGGAGTTACATCAATAATGCATGAATGCGTATGCCTTTATCATCACCATGTGTGGCATTATCTGAATAGAAAATGTAACCCCTTTACACACAAACATCTACGCACACTATCTCACTAAAAGTGATTCCATTTGATACTCACACAAACACACACACGCGTATACCGAATTGCTTCAATCTTGATTCTTGTTTTTCTAT